TTGGGGCAGGGGGAGAAAGGCATCTCCTGAACTCCAGGTGGTCACCAGCAAGGTTGGGGGACAGAAGCTCGGGGACTAGGTACAAGGGGGAGCCCAGGCCACTGACCGCTGTGGTTGTATCCGCTAACACAGGGGCCTCTCGCACTGCGGTGGGGTATAGAGATGGGGCAAAGTGCCAAAGTTCAAAGGCCCCAGGGCCAGCTCCAGCCCCAGATCAGTGTGACACTGGGAAACTATCAGCTGATGGCTCTACCTTCTCAGTAGTGCTCTGTAGGCCTGTTGGATTACAAAGACATATTCCCTCCCACTTAACAGATAAGGTTTAGAGAGGGGCTGGTCCAAGGTTCCCCTGCTTTCATGAGACAGAAACGCCTGGACCCCAAGTCTTCTATGTTATAGTCCCTTCTTTCCCCTGGACCGCATGTTCCCCATTTGTGAAATGGGATCAGGGAAGCCCTATCTTCTGCTGGGGGGAGAGGGGGGAGGGGCTGGGGATGCCCAGAGGGGACATGCAGAGGCCGGGCTGACAGGCGAGCGGGGCAGGAGGAGCCCACCTGTGCCCGGGATGCTGAGCCTCCCACCCAGGCAGCCAAAAGTGCCGCTGACGCTGCTCCCCGGGTCTCGGGGCAGGCCCAGGAGCTGCTGGGAGCCGAGGCTGGCACTGCGCAGGTGCAGTAAGTGGGCATCCCGGGTGTAGTCGCCGGAATACGTGCCGGGCGGCAGGACCCCCAGCAGGTCAGCCGCATCTGGCAGGCCTGGCCCCGAGCCGGTGGTGCTGGAGTTGTAGACCTTGATCTTGAGACTGGGCAGGGGGTCCAGCAGGGGCGAGTTGGTCATGGGGATCTTGTCGGCGGAGTCCTGCAGGGCATACACGGGCCCGCGGTAGATGCCGGCACTGGCCGTGAGGTCCGGAGGCACGGATGGGTGCAGGAGCTGTGGATTGTCTGCAGGGGTTGGGGCTACAGTCAGACCCAGCTGTGCCTCGCTGGCCCGGTCCCATCCTCTGCTCCTGCCGGGGGCCCTTCTGTTGCAAAATCCCACCCAAAAGTCCAGTGGGGGAGGCCCCACTCCAGTCTGGCCGGTGTGGCTGGCTGCCGTGCCCCTCTGGGTACCCTGCCTGCATCTGCCACCCCGGGTACTCCCAGGTCCTTACTGGGCCTTGCAGTCTTGAAGTTGACGGGGTGGAAGCCGCCAGTGAGGGCAGCCGACGAGTCGGTGATGTCCGTGTCAAAGTCCCGGCAGTTGCGGCGGTAAACCACCACCCCCACCACCATGACGACGCCCACGACGACGAAGATGGACACCACGAGGCCCGCGTACAGCGCCACGTCCCCCGAGGTCTCCAGCACTGCGGGGACAGAAGGGCTGGGTGAGGGGCAGGGGCAGAGACCCAGGTCCTGGGACAGACCGGCGCCATGCTAGGTCCTAGTCTGAGCCCTCGTGACTGGCCGGGACCGCAGGCAAGCCTCAACCTCTCTGCGCATCAGTCTCGACGAGTAAAACGGCCTCAGATCCCCTATCTTGCTTCCCTCCCAGTGCAGAAAAACGCATGAGGACTCATGGGCAGTCCCAACAGGTAACTCCTTGCTCACTGCTGAGAAAGAGACAGTGTCCTGTCCCAGCCAGGATGCAAACGGAGGCCCTCGCTGCGGCCTGCAGCACATCCCAGGGCCGGAGGTCCCGGCTCCCGGTAATCTCTGTAAGCAGCCACCCTGAGCTCAACTTGCATTCTGGGCTGAGGGGAGGGGATGGCGGCAGAGGGGGAGCAGGAGGAGGGAATGAGATGCAAGGCGATGGGGTGGAGAGGAGGTGAGCAGGTGGAGGGGAAGGAAGGGGCTCAGGGGGGGCCACCCACCGGCTACACTTTCCTCCCCCAGGCAGGCTGCCACACAGCTGCAAGGAACCCCACACGGCCCAGGCAGGGAGGTGGCATTGACACGATGACAGGCATTCTGTGTCTGCGTTGTCCCACGTGACAGCCACTAGCCACGTGTGGCTAACGAACAACTAAAACGTGGCCGCTCTGACTGAGGCACTCAGTCTTTAAAAATGTATTTAGTTTTAACCAAGTTAAATGGAAGTGGGAAGAGCCACGCGTGGTGAGTGGCTAGGACACTGGACAGCCCACAGGCCGAGCCAAGATGCCTGCTCTTCCCTCTTTTTTGTTTGGGGACCTCCAGGAAGCCAACGTCCAGTCTCCCCTCCTGGGAGGGCCCGCGGACAGAGAGGCCTGCTTTCCCTGCCTGGACCCTTCCAAGCCCCACTTTCCTGGTGCCGACTGAGCCTTTGGGAGGCAGGGCACGGCTCAGTCCTGGTGTCCGCCCACTTCTGCCACCTTCTGGCCCCATCTCTCCTCGGTGGCCCTCACTCTTGGGCTCCCCAGAGGGCCCTGGCGCCCAGGAGAGCTGCCAGGAGGCCCTCGGGGCTCGGCTCTGCCTCCTGATGCTCTCCCTAACCATCGAGGGTCACCTGATAATCGCTCACCAGTCACGAGCCTGGTCCCCCTGTGAGTTGGGCCCAGGGGCCCACTGCTGATTTTATGAACCCGGAATTATTTGGAAATTATGGTTTAATTACCAGAGGCCGATCTGCCCGGGCAGCTTTACTGCTCTGGTGTGGCCTCAGGACGGCCTGGGGGGTAAGTGGACCAGACCCCCTCGGGGCTGACGCTAGGAGAACCTCGCTGGGGGATACAGTAGGGGCACCGGAAGGGGGATGGTATGGGCCTCTGCACCGGCTCTGTTGCGGAGAGGAAGGCTGAGGGGACAAGGTTAAGAGCACCGGCGTGGGTCACGTAAGTACTGATGCTCAAATCCTGGCTGAGTCCGTGGATAAGTCCCTTCTCTCTGAGGCTCATCTTCTCCCGTAATGGGAGGGTCGGGATGGTGTCCTTTCTGTGGGCTGAGGGTCTGCCTGTCTGCACATGACGGAGGGTGTGGCACGTGCAGCATTGGGGGCCAAGGTGGGGGGGGGCATGGACGGTTGGTGGGGGGGGGCACCTTCAAGTCTCCCTGTGCCCTGCCCTGCCCTGCACCCCACACCCTGGAAAAGCCAGCCAAGGAGAGCAAGGGTCCCCCAGAGAAAAAAAGGACAGCCATGAAATGGGACTTACGGTGGCTTTTGGGGTCACTTAGAGTTTTCTTATCTGTCGAGGGAAATAAAGGGAAAGACAATGACATAGGTGGCAAAGAAAGGATGGTGAATGTGACAGGAAACGCGCAGATGAGGTGATGCACGTGGCGAATGGGCAGAGGCCCCAGGGGCTGCCCCACCGAGGCCAGCGCTGGAGGCCTGGGGCCGGCCTGTGGGGCGGGGCGGGGCGGGGTGGGAGGGGCCTCATCCGGCTCGAGCTCCCGCCCCCGGGCCCCGCCTTCGCAAGGACTCACTCTGTATGCACAGCCCGTCGGTGCAGTTCTTGGAGTCGAGCAGGGTCCCGCTGCAGTCTCGGCCTCCGTTCTGGGGCGGGGGCGCCATGCACTCGCGGCTGCGCCAGTGGGCACACTCAGTGCTGCAGGCTGACCACTTGCTCCACTCCGTCCACGCTCCGTCCACTGCAGGAGCACAGCACACGGCACGTGGGGCACATGCGTGCACAGGTATGCGCGCAGAGCACAGCGGTGCACGCGCACGCGCGCGCGCACACACACACTACGGCAGGAGGCGAGCCCAGGGCACACAGCGGTGCGCGCGCACACACACACACTCCAGCAGGACGGGAGCCCAGGACACAGAAGCCACACGAAGAGATCCATCCACCTATGGCCACATGGCCCCTTGCCAGCGCAGTCAGGGGCACCGTGCGGGCAGAGAGGACACAAACAGACACAGGAGGCCACTCACACAGACACAGCCCGGTGCAATATACCACATGGTTCACGCAAACGTGGAAGGGGCGGGACAAAACCAGGCGCGCACAGACCCACAGATGCGGACGCGCAGACTGAGACAAAGGTGAGGGGAGAGAGGACCTTTGCAGGATTAGGGGCGGCAGCCAAAGTCTCAGGCAGGAGGACAGGCTCTCTGACCCCGGGCAGCGCTGGGACCCTGGCTCACGGCCCGGAGGGTGGAAGGGCTTCCCTCCCTCCCCCCCCCCGCCGGCAGACTGCAGCTCAGAGCCTCTCTCTCCGTCCCTCTAGCAGCCGGGTGCAGAACGAGAGGGCACAGGCCACAGCATCGTGTCCAGCCTGCTCGGCCAGCTGTGGGCCCCAGAACAAGCACCACCATGAGGAGAGAGCGGCTGTCCTGACCGCAGCAGACGCCACGGCACAGAAGGCAGGGCTGGGGACCGGGGCGGGCTGGGTGTGGGCAGGACGCCCGCCGGCCCGGGGCCTCACCTGGGCACACGGTGGTGCAGGCGGTCTTTTGGAAGGCCTGGCCCTCGCAGAAGGCGCCTCCGTTGAGCGGGGCCGGGTTGGTGCAGGTCCGTGTACGTTTCTGCCAGCCACGGCCGCAGCGGTTGGAGCAGGGTGACCACTCCGCCCAGCTGGACCAGCCACCGTTCACTGCAAGGGCAGCACGTGTCACCTGGTCAGCCTGGCTCTGCGGCCCGTGGGTCCCCTAGACCCCATCTCCAGTCCTGACAAGGCCCTTCTGCTGAGGCCTTTCCTAACTGGACCCCACCGGCTGCGGCACTGGGGGCTCAGTTTCCAGCAGACAAATCTGGCTGCGACTGTCAACACTGGAGGGGACCGGGGGGCGGGGGGGTCACTGTCTGTTCCCAGCCCCATTGTGCGATGGCAAGCAAAGGTCCAGGGAGGGCTGACGCTTACCCAGGGTCACCTGGTAAAGGGGGACCTGTGCCTGAAACCCGACGCAGGGTTCTTTCTACCATACTCGGGGCATCTCAGCTATAGCTCTGCCCCTCCCAGCGGAGGGAACAGCAAGGAACATCCTACAGGCCTGGGCAGCGGTTCCGCACTCTGCTGGGTCACCAGGCTTGGGAGTGAGGATGCTGATGAGGCCCTGTTCTAGCCCCAAGCCCACGAGTGCCTGACTCGACCACTAGCTGCTGTGTGATCTTGGGGAAGGCACCTCCCCTCTCCCGGCCGCATCCTCCCACGTGTCCACCAGGGTCCTGCCGACCTCCAGTGTAGGGTGGGGTGAGGTGGGCATATGGCCCAAGCTGCCCCCCCACCCCCACTCAGGACCCCTACCGAAGACAATGACCGTGGCAGTGGTGCTGCGACGCTTGGCCACGATGTTCTTGGCCACACAGGTGTAGTTGGCCGTATCTGCCAGGCGGGCCTGGCGGATGATGAGGTTGTGGTCGATGGTGAGCAGGAAGTTGGTGTCCTGGGTGGGGTCGATGATGTCCTCATTCTTGAGCCATTCTACCTACAGGGATGGGGGTGGGGGGCATGAGGGCCCGCTACCTGCTTACCTGCATCGCGGGGAGTGGGCCCTCTCTGGAGGGGAAGGGAGGCCCGGCCATAAACAGGACCGCAGTTCTATCCGTGTCTACCCGCGGTGGTGATAGAATGAGGCTGGACCTCCACGGGCCGGGCCCCGTGGCGAATACTGCAGAACACAGTGGTTGCGACGAGCACCCCACCAGCTAGATGGCCCTGGGGAGGGGCTTAACGCCAGCCTCGATTTCATCATTCGTAAGGCAGAATTTATTAGCACCCACCGCATAGGGCTGATGCAAGGATTAAACAAGTTAGTGTGCAAAGTGTGGAGGACGGTACTTGACTCCCTGGACGTGCAACACAAGTGTTAGCCCTTCGCCGTTAGGGCAAAGACCACGTGCTCGGACACATGCACGGTGAGGCCCTTTGGCATCCACAAAGCTGGGACTTCGGCTTCTGGGCGGGGGAGGAAGATACAGCCACAGGCACCTCCGTTGCAAGAGACTCAGCCTGGGGCCTGCTCAAGTAGCCCGTGGGGATCTGGCCCCAGCTCTTCCCCATCCCGAGGGGTTATGCCTGTGGAGGGCCGAGCTGGGGTCTAGCACACGCCGAGTTCTGCAGAGGCCGTAGTTCTCTTCTCTGTCTCAAGCCTCGATATTCCCATCTATGAAACGGGGAGAGCTCTGGAAGGCTGAGGCATCATGGTCTCTGCCATGCCGAGTATTCTCCTAGTCCCCGCTCACCTCAGCCACAGGCACGCCCTCTGGTGGGCGGCACTGTAGGAGAACCTCCTGGTCCAGGGGCACCTCCTTGCCCAGAGGCTCCTGATCGAAGTTCTTGCGCAGGTCTGGAAGAAGGAGTGGAAGAAGGAAGTGGGGTCACCAGGCACAATTGGGCGGAACAGAAGCCTCACGCGTCCCACTCTAGCCACTAGGGGGCAGTGCACGCCAAGGAAACTGGGCTCTGCCTGGGCATCTCCTCCAAAGTGGGGGCCTCACCAGGTGGGGTTGGGGGAACAGGTCTCCCTCCCTGACGCTGGGATCCTAAGCACACAACAACCCAGGCTGGTGAGGAAGCTGGCAGCTCCCTTATACAGACGTAGCTACAAAAAGCTGTTAGAAATCCTGAGGCCAGAGGTGGCTTAAGTTCTGGGTCCAGGAGGCCTTTTCTGAGCTGGCATCCGTGTGCCCTCACGTCTCTGCAGCGGGCAAGGGATGCCCCCACAGCTGTGGAGTTTCCTCTCCAGGGGGTGTGGGCAGGGGGAAGGGGCCCAGGGGAGCGGGTTGGGGTGTCAGGACGGCCTACATGCGATGCGGACGTAGGCCCGGCGACTCTTGGTGGTGCCCGCGGAGCTCCAGGCCACGCACTGGCACCAGTAATCCTCCAGCCCGAACAGCTCCTCCACCTGCTGCCGCGACACCTCGATCTGTACCTCTCGTACCCGCAGGCCTGAGAGGAGGAGACAGATGGCATCAGGGGGCGGGTCTGAGGATAGGAAGCATGGGACGTGGCACCAGGACCTCTGTCTCTGCCAAGCGCTTCCATTTCCATCTATTTTCTCGTCTCTTCCGACTCCACCCTGGCCCCAGCCACCACTGCCACTCCCCTGGAGACTGCAAGGGCTAACACAAGCCCTCTGCCCCGTCCAGTCCGCTTCCTGCCCCGCAGCTGGCGTGCGCTCCTCACAGCGCACAATGCCACGCGTCCCCTGGCTGTGCCTCCAGTCCTCACGACGTGAAGACCCAGATCCCCCACGTGGCCTTCTGGCCCTGCACAGTCTATCCACTACAGCCTCACCGGGCATCTTTCAGTTCCTCATGGTCTCCCCGGCCACAGGGCCTTTGCACACCCAGTCTCCTGCCTGGAACTCTCTTCCGTCGCCTCTGTGCCCAGTGGACTCCCGGTCGCCATCGGCTCTGGGCTGGGCCTCACTTCCTGAGGGAACGCCTCTCTGACCCTGGCCCATCTCCACCCACTCTCAAAGCACCATACTGGACACTGGGCTGCGTAGTTATCAACCCCCGCCCAGCCTGACTTCCCCACGGCCCTGACTGCTATCCGGAACTGTATTATCTACTGATAATTTGTTTGTTAAATATTTCCCGCGGGAGAATAAAGCAGGGCTTTGCCCTGCTCACTGCTGTGGCCCAGGACCTGGCCCAGGAAAGGTGCTCCAGAAATACATGAAGAAAGCAGGTGGCCTGTCTCTGGTTAGGAGCTGGAGCTGGGGGGAGGCCCCTCTTCCTAGGACCTCTCAACAGCTCCCAACCAGGGCCTGGGGGCTTCCCTGCATAACAGCATCCACCAGCCTACCCAGAGAGGGTCACACACTCTCCTGCCAACCCTCGATAAAAGCCCCTTGTGCTCAGGGAACGAGTGAACCCTCTGGATGACGATGCCCATCCAAAGCTCTTCCCCAAAGCTTGTGGGAGGACTGTGAGGCCCCCTCCTCCAGGAAGCCCTTCCTGACTGTCCCCGTCTCAGAATTCCTAAAGCTGTTCCTCCCTGCCACGTGTCCCAGCTCACCCTCTTCTGCCCACACATGGGCTCTGATGAGCCTCTCGAAGGCGGGATTGTCAGCTCTATACTCTGTGGTACTGTGGCATGATGGTCAAGTGTAGGGTTGGGTGGCTGGGCAGGTTTGAGTCCTGGCCCCACCCTCACTCCCCAGCTGTGTGACCTTCACTAAGTTACTCAGCCTGTCTGAGCTTCTGTTCCCTCATCATAGTAAAACACTCGGGGTAAACTCTAGAGCGATCATGGCAATCACTCTGCCATAGCACCCAGCCAAGGCCGAACACAAATCTACTCGGGAAGGTCATTTGGGTCTCATCCAGCCCCTTCCTTCCACATATGAAGAAACTGAGGCTCAGAGAGGGTCAGTGGCAGGCCCTAAGTACCACCTCGAGATACCGGCAGAGCTGAGATCAGCTATCTGGTATCTTGCCCTGGTTAAAGCTGTCTCCAGATGCATGACCTCTTTGGACCTTTCCAGTGAACTCATTGCCTTAACTCTCCCGCACCATGGGGTAGGATGCCCTTTGCCCGAGGAGCCCAGACAGTAAGGAAAACCCCCTCCCGACGGCCAGGGATCTAAATGCGAGGGGGCTGGGGTTCTGCCCCTGGGGAGCACCAGGAGGGCAGAGGCTGCTTCAGAGGGATGACGCTGGCTGCTCACAGGGGCTGCCTGGAGTCCTGGCCCTTTGAGCAATGCTGCATAGCCCAGGGCAGTACAGAGGGGGCCCCCACTCCTTATTCACTAGGCTGTGAAACTGACAGGGGGGTCCCTCTCAAGGGGGTCATCCATCCAGAAGCACCCAACCGCTGGACAGAGAAATCATCACCCA